ACAAGACTTCAGATGCAAACATTTATCACTTTTAAGCAGAGCTTTTTTCTGTTGTTTTACTGTGTATTAAATTGAAAATCTATATGTATTAATTAGTTCATACTTAATCATTGGGTTTTCATTTTTATCAATAAATTATAAATTTGATTGGGCTTTTATTTATTGAGAACTTGTGTTTCTTGATTTTTTCATGCAATTTAATTTTAACATATACATTTTGGTTATATAATATTAATTCATGTAGAATAGAACTATATTTTGTTAGTGTTGTGAAGAAAAATAAGAAATTATAAGGATTTTTAAATTTTAATTTATTTTTCAAGAATTTCATACATGAATACCACATTTATGTAATTTCTACCCTATCTTCCCTCCCTCAGCTCCTCTCATGTTCCCTTACTCTCTGTTAAATTTATGACTTGACTTACTTTTCCTTAATTACATACACACGCACACACATATAACCTACTGAATTTACATAGTGTTGTTCAAGTGTGTGTGTGTGTGTGTGTGTGTGTGTGTGTGTGTGTGTGTGTGTGTGTGTTTAGTGATGACCACTTGAGATCTGACAACCTATCAGACTATCAGTAAGCTCATCCCTGAGCAAAAAGATTTAAGATGACACTAGAAAATGGAAACATCTCCTATACTCATACATTAGCAGAATTAATATTGCAAAAATGACAATTATACCCAAATCATTCTACAGATTCAATACAATTCTCATCAAAGTCCCTAAACATTCTTCATAAAAGTAGAAGAAAAAATCCTAAAATTCATATTGAACTACAAAAGACCCTGGAGAGTCAAAGCAATGCCAAACAAAGTGAACAATGCTGGAAGGATTAGCATTGCAGATTTCAAACTATTATTTCCAATAGAGTGATCAAGGAATGTCTCTGATATAGTGACTTTCAAAGGACTTGTATTTTTACTTGAGATGCTCCTTTAAAAAAACTGGAATGATACTTTATTACAAAGGCAAAACTGTTTACTGTATGGTCCCTTTTGTCTGTATTGTATACTTTGTTTGTGATCATCCTCAAACACAGCTGAATCATTCCAGTCCTTCTCTTTTATGTCTTCTGAGGTTTACCTTAATCTCTTCTGTTTTATTTTCTCTTCTCTTATTTCCAGAAAATTGAAACATTTTTTCCTACTTTTTGTATTTTATATCCTCTCAATTACATTCATGATTGATTGATTACCTTAAATATTAACATATATATTTGACATGAGAATGGCATTTTATATCTTCACTCTTTTTCCAAATCTTATAAGAATGTATTAATTCCCACATTTTACTCCCTCCTTCCATGTAGCTTGTTCTAATTTGTTTTTCTAACTTATTCTCCTAGTCCTTATTAGCCATTTTTAAAGATTATGAATGTACTTTTCAGTACATTCCCTGTCTCATATTCATAAGAGTTTCACTTTCAACTGCAGGAAAGTATTCTTTTAGAAGTCATTTTGAGAAGGCTTATTTAATCATTTACTTATATTTGTGCATAGAGCGTATACTTCATCTTAGATAGAGTTTTAGATGCTAAAGGAATAGCAGTGAACAGAAAAAAAGTCCCTACTATAGTGGAATTTCCAGCCTGTTGCATTGAAAGAAGCAGTAAATGAAGACATATTTTGTAAGTGCTGTGTAGAAGAAAAATAACAACTGGTCAGGGGAAGAAGGATTGCTATTTGTTTATGGTAAGATGATCAAAGAATTTCTCTTTACTGTACAGTCCAATGGGACTGAAGGCTGCAATGAACCCAGCCATAAGAAAGCTCAGAGTTAGAATGATCCTTGAGTACTAAATGCTCTGCCTTACATGTGTAAAATTAGCTTTATGTTGACCTAGCTCTATCACCTATAGAATTCTGGAATAATGATTACTTCTTTTTTCATTTCGAATTTTCGAGATACATTTGCATTAACTTTTTGACTTGTCTTGTTACCTTTAAGATGTGTGATGTCAATCAAGTTGATAGCTCTTTGTTCATCTCCTTTTTGGTATTCTTTGAGTCTGCTTTGTGCTGGGTTGGCTTGGCTCTATTTTAATTTATTGACTTTGCAGCTCATTATGGTTCTTGAACCTAAGGATGCATCTATTTCAACAGTTCTGGGAAAGTTCATACACTAGTATATTGAAAATTGTTCCTCCCTCACTTTCTCCATTCTCTTATGTTTAGAATTTTCAAGAAGATCCCCTGAACCTTTCCTGCTTATTCATGTTAAAATGGTAGGAAAGATTTATCTTCATATTTTCTCCTGTTTATCTGTCTGAAATGTAAACTGAGCAGTTTTTTCCCCATATATTTATCTCTCTTTGGTAATATCAATTCTGGTATTGATTTTTTTTCTGGTAACTCATTTTTTTCTATAGTATGGCACTTCACGTAGGTCCTTTTTCAAACTTTTTTTTAAATTTCTCTATACCCCCAAATCTTTATAATTTAACAGCAGATCTTTCCTAATATCTATTTGATAATTATATTGTATGAAGTCTGTAGAGTCAGTCTAATTCGGTTATATGCTGTATCAGATAACTGACCATTTCCTTAGATGTTTTATTGTGGATTACAATATTCTTTTCACCAAGCATTCATTTATAGTGTTGTCTTTCCAGAGTGTTTTTGTGATACCTTATCTCTTGCCATCTGAGACCAATTTTTATGTTAATTTCTCAATTTGAAAGTTCTAGATTAAACAGACAATGTACATTCATTTGAACATCAATCCAAGATTAGATGAGGCTGAATTTCAACAGAAATGTCTTTCCTTTCCCTCTAGCCACTTCCTTTTTGAACTTTCATGCTATGGGCTTATTCTTGCAAATTTTATCTAGTTCACCCCTTTTGCTGTGGTTGGAGCTTTTCAAGATTGTGGCTTTATGTGGGAGTTGAGTTCCAGTTTATAGACTGGCAGAGTCCCAGTTTATACCCGTTGTCCTAATTACTTATAAAGCCTTTGGTCTCTCTCAAAAAATATTCCAGTTCAGGCAACAAATTTTAGGATCTTCCCATTCTTAGGCAGGGATGTGAATGGGATACTGAAGGAAGAAAAGATCTAGACTTTATCTGACAGAAAATATCTCAAATATGAAGGCAACAAAGTATGTCAGGGAAGAGTTTATTCAAGGTATGATCAGAAGCAGTCAGTGGATTGGATTTTCATATACTTGTAGTTGCTATTTCAGTTTTTTAAGCTAGCTAGCTGAAGGATATCTCTGTGCCTTTTTAGTTCTTTTTTTAGTTTAATTTTGCTCTTATTTCGAATTCAAAACAAAATCCAAAATTGAATTAAAAATATTTAGTAGAACTATATATAGCATTCTAGCTGTCAGTCATCTATCAAATATAACTAATTTAATAATTTTAAAAAGCAGGACTTTAAAGTTTGATTAAAATTTAATACAAAGCACATAATGTCTGTGAAATATATTTTAAAAGTCAAAATGATTTATTCAAATAGCCTTTCAATGCTTAGCTTTATTGAAATTTTCAGTTCTTATATATTATGGATATCTGTAACCTATTCTTATTGCCTTTTCATTGTATGTGAATACTTTTTCCTTCTTTTTGACCCTAGTGACTTATTTTCTTTGAAAAATATTTCAATTTTCTAAAAACATTTTTCACAAAATAAAATATAATAAGATAAAATAAAAACCATCACACTGAAGCTGGACAAGTCAAAACAACAAAAGAAAAAGAGCCCCAAAGGAAGACTCTAGAATCAGAAACTCACTCATTTACACACTCATGAGTCCCATAAAAACCCGAAACTGGAAGCCATAATATATACATAGACCCATACAGGCCCAGTGCTTGCTGCTTCAGTCTCTGTGAGTTCATATGAGTTTTGATCATGTTGATTCAGAGAGCTTTGCTTTTCTAGTGACCTCTATCCCCTCTGGCTCTTACATTCTTTACACCTCCCTTTTGCTGGGTTCCGTGAGCTCTGAGGGAGGGATATCCTATTTAATGACTAGTCAAGGATTTAATTGGAGTCTGTAATCAGATGTAGGATTTACATTCTCAATGGGTCTCTTGCTTTAAGAAGCTGACCAGCAGTTGTAGGTCATGTTCTTGGTCTGAACCTTTGCTGTGACACATTAAGCTAATAAGATTTTAGAGTTTTACCAGCTGAGTTGTGATAGCTTGAAAAATGTCTTCTGTTTAAATAGTATCAAACTCACAAACATTACCTAGCATACATATTTGAGCTAGTGGAGGACTGTTCCATTTTTTAAAACCTGCTTTTTACTGGAACATATATTTATGGGTAATCCAATAATTCTGCCAGGATTTAAAGTTGATAACATACTTATATTTTGGGGCCCATCCCTTCTGTGGCACTCTTCCTTCAGGAGTATCACACCAAGTATTCTAGATTTCCTGCCAACTTGGCCAGTAATGTTGTGTATGCCTAGAGAATTCTAGATTTGGAGTTCATGTATAAGAACAAAAACAAAAAGAAATGGCTGGGGAAATTTCTCACTAAGTGAAGAGCTCACTTCATATGCTTGAGGACCTGTTTGAATTCCTTGAACACATGTAAAAAGCTGGAGTTCAGATGAAACTTGTATTAAAATATGTAGTTTGCTTTTATGGTTATGGTTATAATGGTGTTTAATGTTCATATGAGATCATTCATCAATAAAGACAAAGAGTGTTTTTTACTAGAGACATCATAGCCCAGAGAAGAAAAGTCTTCTGCTCAGCTTATATTGTATGTAGGGCAGTGTTGGCAATGGCTTTTCAAATAAAATATGTTAGATATACAATTAGATTTATGTATCATCAGCAATTGTATATGTATTAGTTAACATGGCAAGAATTTTCAGTCATTATCATTTCCTCATACTCACCAGTAAGTACTTCTAATAGACTTCTTCTCTATATCACAGGTAATATTTCAATTAATATTTGCCAATGGCATTGTGGATACTCATCATTATCCTAACTGAAACATTGTTTCTCTTTTGTTCTCTCTGTTCCAGGAATATACTATTGATGTATTTTTTAGACAAACATGGCATGATGAAAGACTGAAATTTGATGGACCCATGAAGATCCTTCCACTGAACAATCTTCTGGCTAGTAAGATATGGACTCCTGACACCTTCTTCCACAATGGCAAGAAATCAGTGGCTCACAATATGACCACACCCAACAAGCTGCTCAGACTGGTAGACAATGGGACCCTCCTCTATACAATGAGGTAAGAGAATGGAAACTCCCACTCAGTATTTTGGAGCTAGGACATGTATTGAAAGTAGGAGGTTTTAGGTTATACACTGAAAATTCCTTTGGTTTATCACACAGACACATGTGTCTTATATTTTAATATATACTAAGTAATATATACATATATATGAATTTAATAGTTTTATATACATACTATTCTTTCAAGTTTATAGATTTGTATAGTATATATTTTGAAAAGCAAATACGTATGTATTTCAAGTATATATATATATTTATATGTACATATCAGTGCATAAACATTCTTTCAACACATTTACATGTGTACAGAAATGCATGCATATTCTATATTCCATATAGTTACACATATGAACATTTTGAGACACAAAGAAGTATGTTATTTATATTGTATAAATATGTATATCTTCAAAGACTTATATGTTTGGACAGAGGCACATATGTGTTCAAGAACACCTAAATACACAAACTTAGAAAAGCAATAGTTCAAGCTAAACAACTGTCTTCCGTGTCCAGAGGGCCTAGTCCAGTCCCATGGGGGCTCCACAGCCACCAGTCCACATTTCATGGGTTTTCACTAGTGTGGCCGGTCATCTCTGCACTTCCTCCCATCATGATCTTGACATCCCTCGCCTGCAGTATCTCTCCTCTCTCTCATCAATTGGATTCCCAGAATTCAGCCTGGTGCCTGGCCGTGGATCTCTGTATCTGCCTCCATCTGTCACTGGACAAGGGTTCTATGATGACAGCTAGGTTATTTGCTAGGCTGGTCACCAGAGTAGACCGGTCCATGCACCCTCTGGACCACTGCCAGCAGACCAAGGCGGGGTCATTCTCTCAGATTCCTGAGAGCCTCCCCAGCACCCTGCCTCTCCCTATTCCTATGATGTCCTCATCTAGCATGGTATCTTCCTCCCTGCCCTCCCACTCTGTCCCTGTTCCAGCTTGACTCTCCCATTTCCCTATGTTCTCAACCCCCACTCCTTGCCCTCTGCCACCGCCCCACACCCAGTCCATTCATGTAGATCTCATCCACTTCTCCTTCACAGGGTCATCCATGTGTCCCTCCTAGGGTCTTTTCCTGTTAGCTAGCCTCTCTGTAGTTGTGGGTTGCAGTCTGGCCATCCCTTCCCTCCCATTTAGTATCAACTTATGAGTGAGTACATACTATGTTTGTCGTTCTGAGTCTGGGTTACCTCACTCAAGATAACATTTTCTAGATCCATCCATTTGCCTGCAAATTTCATGATATCATTGTTTTTTACTGCTGAGTAGTACTCCATTGTGTATATGTGCCACATTTTCTTTATCCATTCTTCAGTTGAGGGGAATCTAGGTTGTTTCCAGGTTCTTGTTATTATAAATAATGCTAATATGAACATAGTTGAGCATGTGTCCTTGTGGTAAGATTGAGCATTCCTTGGGAATATGCACAAGAGTGGTATAACTGGGTCTTGAGGAAGAATTATTCCCAACTTTCTGAGAAACCTCCATACTGATTTCCAGAGTGGCTGTACAAGTTTGCATTCCCACCAAGAGTGGAGGAGTGTTCCCCTTGTTCCACATCCTCTCCAACATAAGCTGTCTTCAGTGTTTTTGATCTTCGCCATTCTGAAAGGTGTAAGATGGTATCTCAGAGTTGTTTTGATTTGCATTTCCCTGATGACTAAGGATGTTGAGCAATTCCTTAAATGTCTTTCAGCCATTTGAGATTCTTCTGTTGAGAATACTCTGTTAAGCTCTGTAGCCCATTTTTTAATTGGATTGTTCAGTACTTTGAAGTCTAGCTTTTTGAGTTCTTTGTATATTTTGGAGATCAGCCCTCTGTCAGATGTGGGGTTGGTGAAGATCTTTTTCCATTCTGTAGGCTGTCGTTTGGTCTTATTGACCATGTCCTTTGCTCTACAAAAGCTTCTCAGTTTCAAGAGGTCCCATTGATTGATTGTTTCTCTCAGTGTCTGTGCTACCAGTGTTATATTCAGGAAGTGCTCTCCTGTGTCAATTCGTTTATGACTACTTCCTACTTTTTCTTCTATCAAGTTCAGTGTAACTGGACTTATGTTGAGGTCTTTGATCCACCTGGACTTGAGTTTTGTGCATGGTGACAGATATGGATCTATTTGCAATCTTCTGCATGTTGACACCCAGTTATGCCAGCACCATTTTTTGAAGATGCTTTCTTTTTTCTATGGTACAGTTTTGGTTTCTTTGTTGAAAATCATATGTTCATAGGTATGTGGATTAATGTCAGGGTCTTCAATTCGATTCCATTGGTCCACATGTTGGTTTCTATGCCAGTGCCAAGCTGTTTTTATTACTATAGCTCTATAGTAAAGCTTGAGGTCGGAGATCATGATGCCTCCAGAGGTTGCTTTATTATACAGTATTCTATTAGCTATCCTAGGTTTTTTGTTTTTCCATATAAAGTTAAGTATTGTTCTTTCCAAATCTGTGAAGAATTGTGTTGGGATTTTGATGGGGATTGCATTGAATCTGTAGAATGCTTTTTGTAAGATTGCCATTTTTACTATGTTGATTCTACCTATCCATGAGCATGGGAGATCTTTCCATTTTCTGATATCTTCTTCAATTTCTTTCTTCAGAGACTTAAAGTTCTTATCATACAGATCTTTCACTTGCTTAGTTAGTGTTACCCCCAGGTATTTTATATTATTTGTGGCTATTGTAAAGGGTGATGTTTCTCTGATTTCTTTCTAAGCCCCCTTTTCATTTGTATATAGGAGGGCTACTAATTTATTTTTAGTTAACCTTGTATCCTGACACTTTACTTAAGGAGTTTATCAGCTGTAAGAGTTCCCTGGTAGAATTTTTTGGTTCATTTATGTATACTATCACATCGTCTGCAAATAATGAAAGTTTGACTTCTTCCTTTCCAATTTGTATCTCCTTGATCTCCTTTTGTTGTCTTATTGCTCTAGCTAGAACTTCAAGTTCTATACTGAATAAGTATAGGGAGAGTGGACAGCCTTGCCTTGTTCCTGATTTTAGTGGAACTGCTTTGAGTTTCTCTCCATTTAATTTGATGTTGGCTGTTGGCTTGCTGTAGATTGCCTTTATTATGTTTAGGTATGTTCCTTGTATTCCTGATCTCTCCAAGGCCTTTATCATGAAGGGGTGTTGGATTTTATCAAATGTCTTTTCTGCATCTAGTGAGATGATCATGTGTTTTTTTTTCTTTCAGTTTGTTTATATGGTGTATTACATTGACAGATTTTCATATGTTGAACCATCCTTGCATCCCTAGGATGAAGCCTACTTGGTCATGGTGGATAATTGTTTTGATGTGTTCCTGGAATCTGTTTGCCAGTATTTTATTGAGTATTTTTGCATCAATGTTCATGAAGGAGATTGGTCTGTAGTTCTCTTTCATTGTTGCAACTTTGTGTGGTTTGGGTATCAGGGTAACTGTAGCCTCATAAAAAGAATTTGGTAATGTTCCTTCTGTTTCTATGGTGTGGAACAATTTGAAGAGTATTGGTATTAGCTCTTCTTTGAAAATCTGGTAGAATTCTTCACTGAAACCATCTGGTCCTGGGCTTTTTTTGGTTGGAAGACTTTTAATGACTGTTTCTATTTCTTTAGAGGGTATTGGTCTATTTAAATAGTTTATCTGGTCTTGATTTAACTTAGGTATGTGGTACTTATCCAGAAAATCATCCATTTCTTTCAGATTTTGCAATTTTGTGGAGTACAGGTTTTCAAAGTATGACCTAATGATTCTCTGGAATTCCTCAGTGTCTGTTATTATGTCCCCCTTTTCATTTCTGATTTTGTTAATTAGGATGTTCTCTCTCTGATTTTTGGTTAATTTGGATAAGGGCTTATCTATCTTGTTGATTTTCTCAAAGAACCAACTCTTTGTTTCATTGATTCTTTGTATTGTTCTCTTTGTTTCTATTTTATTGATTTCAGCCCTCAATTTGATTATTTCCTGGCGTCTGTTTCTCCTGGGTGACTTTGCTTCTTCTTGTTCTAGAGCTTTCAGTTGTGCTGTTAAGTCACTAGTGTGAGATTTCTCCAACTTGTTTATATGGGCATTTAGAGCTATGAATTTTCCTCTTAGCACTGCTTACATGGTGTCCCATAAGTTTGGGAATGTTGTACATTCATTTTCATTGAATTCTAGGAAATCTTTAATTTCTTTCTTTATTTCTTCCTTGACTCATTGGTGATTCAATTGGGCATTATTCAGTTTCCATGATACTGTATGCTTTCTGTAATTTTTGTTGTTGTTGAAGTCCAACTTTAAGCCATGGTGGTCACATAAGACACAGAAGGTTATTTCAATTTTTTTGGTATCTGTTGAGATTTGCTTTGTGTCCAAGCATGTGGTCGATTTTGGAGAAGGTTCCATGGGGTGCTGAAAAGAAGGTATATTCTTTTGTGTTAGGGTGGAATATTCTGTAGATATCTATTAAGTCCATTTGAGTCATAATGTCTGTTAGTTCCCTTATTTCTCTGTTAATTTTTGTCTGGCAGACCTGTCCATTGGTGAGAGTGGGGTGTTGAAGTCTCCCACTACTAGTGTATGGAGTTTGATGTGCGATTTAAGCTTTAGTAATGTTTCTTTTATGAATGTCAGTGCCCTTGTATTTGGGGCATAAATATTCAGAATTCAGACTTCATCTTGTCAGATTTTCCCTGTGATAAATATGTAGTGTCCTTCCCGATCTCTTTCAATTGATTTTAGTTTGAAGTCTATTTTATTAGATATTAGGATAGCTACACCAGCTTGCTTCTTAAATCCATTTGATTGGAATATCTTTTCCCAGCCTTTTATTCTGAAGTGCTGTCTGTCTTTGAAGTTGAGGTGTGTTTCTTGTATGCAGCAAATGGATGTATCTTGTTTTGGTTTGTATCCATTCTGTTAGCCTGTGTCTTTTTATAGGTGAATTGAGACCATTGATATTGATCTATATTAATGACCATTTATTGTTAATTCCTGGGGTTTTTTTGGTGGTAGTGTTGTATGTTTCC